GTTTTTAGGTTTTTTTTTTGTTTATTTGCTTTTTATTTGAGTATTGATGATTAGTAGCTTTTTACCATCAGCTGTATGTAGTGACGCAGTAGAAATGCTGATGTTCTACCATTAAAAATAAAAGGGAGCTCTTGCTCTTCAGCCTGGAGAAGAGAAGGCTCCGGGGAGACCTTATAGCAGCCTTCCAGTACCTAAAGGGGGCCTACAGGACTTTTTTCAAGGGCAGTTAATGACAGAACAAGGAGTAACGGCTTTAAACTGGAAGAGGGTAGGTTTAGATTAGATATTAGGAAGAAATTCTTTCCTGTGAGGGTGATGAGACACTGGAACAGGTGGCTTCCCCCTCCCTGAAAGTGTTCAAGGCCAGGCTGGATGAGGCTTTGAGCAACCTGGTCTAGTGGAAGGTGTCCCTGCTGATGGCAGGGGGGTTGGGACTAGGGGATCTTTAAGGTTCTTTCCAACCCAAACCATTCTATGATAATGAAACTAATTCAGGAAACAGCTAGCAATCAGCATAAAAATATACCTATGGAAAACAGCAATGCCAGGACAGGATTTCTTTGTTGCTAGTATAGGTAAGAGAATTTGAAACCAGGAAAAGCAGCATTATCCAGAACAATAATGTAGACTAAAGTTCATTGCTCTGAACCTCCGACACATAGCTAATTCATAACAGCACTGTCATGTGAAGAAAATGTATATACTGTCAGGATATGAAACCTAGAGATGACAAATATAGATAGGCTTGCAGTAATCTATATATAACCAGGTTGAGTCCATGAACTGCTGACTTGACTGGCAGGAGCTTTGGTGGGGGTTTTTCTCCTTCCATCCACTGTTGTTTCCACATCTCTTGTCATTTTGGAGGTACTGAAAACTGTGAGGCTGAGTAATTCACTATCCAAGGAACTAGGGAGTTGGTATGTTACATATTTCAATGGAAATCTGGTAAATGTTGTTGAAACACTTTTTTGCCAAGTGAATTTCCATGTACTGAAAATTACTTTTCATTCACAAAGCAAGACAATATTTTTCTACTACATGTCCTACTATCCTAAGCTTTGCAGTTAATCTTCTTACTTTTTATTTTGAACAGTGCAAATGGTGTCCAGAGTGCGTGAGCAAGATGATTGAATAATGATCTAAGGATTTAACCAGTAGCTTTGGTCTGCCAAGTTTGTTAATGTGCATGTGTGTCTGCCTTTTTTCACTTTCCCCATATAGACAGCTACGGATAGTGACAGGAGAATGGTTTTTTGAAGAGAGAGCAAAGCGCTTCAAACAATCAAATCTTCTTGGAACCGATGTTGTCAGACAGTCTATCCTACGGAAATTCCCAGGTAAGGACCACAAGAGAGAGATTTGCTTGTGCTCAATACATTCAAACCTTGTTTCCAGAGTGTTTGACTCGTATTTTATTCTTCACTGTTGAAAGTGTAAGTATAATCAGTATTTTAATCTTGATTTCATATTGGGTATTACTATGCAGTGATTTGTGAATGATTAATATATAGGAAAAGTAAGGTATAGATGAATGAAGAAGTATCTCTGTGGAGATAGAGAACTGCTTAAAATCTCACTGTCCAAACAGGTGGACAGTATTATTCAGCTGCAAAGCCAGCAGCAGAGGCTTTAAAAGTTCATTTTGAGCTCCTGCCAGGAAGTTTGGCTGTGTGCACAAATTTAAACCCAGCCATTTTCTTACTTTGGCTCTACTATTTCTGATGGTGGTGTGTAAGAAGTATTCCATTTTTCTTTTTCAATTCTGAGTAAGGAAGATAAACATTAATGCCTGTGTCGTATGCTGCAGCATAGGCTACATCCAGACTAGTTGGTACTTCTCAGTTCTCACTTGACTTTCCTTTTGCCTAGATATCTCCAATAAACTGCAGCTGCACTTTTAGGTACAGTAAACAGTCTGGTCATCTTGACCAAGCACAGCAAGTGTACCATGTCTGCGAGCTGCTGTGGTACCTTGCATGGTACCACAGGACCACTGGTTTAAGAAACAGGAGTTTTTCCTGAATGCTGATTCTTCTGTCTTCACTTAACTACTTCACTCTGCACACGGAAATTGTTATTTAGGTCATCTGTTTTCAGATGTAGCATTTATCACTTCCAGTAGGAAGGTGATGGGTATGGGCAGTTTGCAGGGAGAGGGTCTGATTTACTGCCATTGGAAAAATGCCTGGTGCAAATATATGACTGCTTGGCAAAATCCTGATCTTGCCCTTATCACTGTGCTTCAGAAGCTCTCAAACTGGCAAGTATTTAACATTCTTTGGGCTTTGATATTACATTGCCTGACAAATTTGGTATTTTGTGATTTGTTAGTTTATTGTTTGATACATATATTAAAAATATATTTAAACCATTTTTCCCCCATCTTTCTCCTGGTTGAACAAATATTTTAATTAGGACAATGTTCTTCCATTTATCACAGAAAATACTGTACACCGCAAAAATGTATTTCAGGTCCTTTGGTTAGTAAATGTTGTCGGTGATAAATTCAGAAGCGTAGCTCAAGACAAGAGCTGATAATGAGAAACATTTCAAGCTACTTAAAGTTTTATTTTCTTTTATTAAAAGGAAAAGCCAAAGAACCTCCCAAAGTTTTTTGAATGATATTTTATCTTATGGTTTTATTTAATATTGAAAAATGGAAAATCTATTTTTGTAGGTTGTTTGACATGTGCTGCCTTTTTGTGCAAAGATTCACTTTTTTTTCCTTTCCACCTTCACTGAAGATACGGTTTCCAGTAAGGATGATGGAAGAACATTTAAAGATCGACCCCAAGAGAATGAAGAAAAAAGACCAGATGTATCAGTCTCCTCCACAACTGGGCACAAATCAGTCTTCAGTGGAACTAGAAAGATAGGGTAAAGCCTGTTCTTTTGGAAACTGATAAATCAGATAACAGCTGTATATGGTTGGATGGATTTTCTTTTGAGTTTCTCCAACATTCCACATCAGCCTCAAACTTCCCGGGGTTAGAAACAGCCTTAGTTTAAAAGCATACTTACTGTAATTAGGTTACTGTTTCCTAGGAAATGCAGCAGTAATCATTCTTCAGCTATAAAGGTAGCAGAAAAAAAGGCAATTTTACTCATGGACTTTTCTTGTTTATACTCAAAAGTAACAAAGTGTCCCTGAAGGCAGGTTTGCTGACGAAGCAAATGCAAAAAGTAGTACTTGGAGGGACTGTTTTTTATGTATACTGGTTGGTTCTGTACACAAGTCAAGTTTTCCGTTAGTTTCCAGCTGTGCAAATGCAGTCTAACAGTCAAGCAGTGCCCCTTTTTTTTGTGTGTGACAGTGAATAAAGATACGTTGCTGATCATCTTGCAGTCTCAGTGACGTGCGTAACCCCTGTCAGGCTGTGCTCTTAGAGGAACACTTGCTTACCCTTGGGGGACATGGGCAGATGTATTGACTGTACAGCTGCACAAGTGGTGTTTGGTTGTAACTTGAGGCTATTGGGTGAATGGGAAGAAAAATTGGATGAACGTTCATATTATGGCTGAAGCTCCATGGGCTGATAGTTGGAAAACTTTGTTTCTGTTGGAAGAAAGAACACGTTTCATAATGGATCCTAAATACAGGGCAGGTAGATAGCCTTCTACAGCTTTTTTGCTTCTGAGGAGAGCTAAGCATGGAATTACTTGTTACAGTAACTCCAGAAATTATCGTCAATGATAGCAGCCTTCCAATACCTGAAGGGGACCTACAAGAAAGCTGGGGAGGGACTTTTCATAAGGGCAGTTAATGACAGAACAAGGGGAAATGGGTTTAAGCTGAAAGAGGGTAGGTTTAGATTAGATATTAGGAAGAAATTCTTGACTGTGAGGGTGGTCAGACACTGGAACAGGTTGCCCAGAAAGCTGTAGATGCCCCCTCCCTTAAAGTGTTTAAGGCCAGGCTGGATGAGGCTTTGAGCAACCTGGTCTAGTGGAAGGTGTCCCTGCTGATGGCAGGGGGGTTGGAACTGGATGATCTTTAAGGTCCCTTCCATCCCAAACCTGTGATTCTATGATTTATCTCTAATACTGGGGAAAGAGCATCAGAATGCCCCTGGCTTCTCAAATTAAATTGAAGAAAGAACCAGCTTAGGGAATCTACTATAACAGGACCTAGATGTTACTCTAAATCATGCTAATGGGTAGCTATAGTGAGAGTGCAATAAAGTTTACTTTTGTAATGCTCTTTTCATTTAAATCCTTTATGCAAATCTATTAGTCATATTACCCTATGAGAAACAGTTGTTTTTTTATAAAGATCTCTTCGTTTATTTTAATGGTGTTCAACCTTTTTCAGTTTGTGGCCTGAAGTGTTTTCTGGTGGTGATATTCCTCATAAAGAAAATTTAATCCTACAAGAATTAGGTTTGCTTTTCCTAGTATATTTTGTGGCCTCTCTTAAAAGTAGTTAATTATTCCTCCTCCTTCCTTGCTCCTCCTTCCCCCCTCAGGTTCCACATTCATATATCACATGAGTGGATTTGTTATAGCAAAGCCATTTTGGGGCCAACTCGTAGTTATACTTAGCATCATGGAATAACTTAACGGTCTATTGTTTTTAAGTCTATGAAAAATACTATTACTTTTCAAAACTTTATTTCATTTTATTCATTCCTGTCTTATTAGACCACATCTTTTAGGCTAAGAGGCTGATGTTATTTTTTCAGAAAACAGCATGTTTGGGGCATTGATGCATATAAATTGTAGAAATTGGAAAGAAATCTTTAAAATTAAATACATATAGTGTAATTTCCTAGGGGAAAATACACATACTTAGTCAAATATTTTTTTTGCAGTGTATAAACTGTAAAAAAAATAAAATAGAGAGGAATTTTCACAAAAGGCACTTCTGGTTCAAAGCTTGAAGTGGCCGTGTTGAGTAGGAGAGATATTTTAATGTTTTGTGTCTTAAAAAGCAGTTTATAGCAAATATGATGGGTTTTTTTGTTCGTAGCAATCAGTTTGATCACCAGATTTGGTGCTCTATTGACCCTTATATCCAGAACTGTCCGTAGGTCAGACAGATTAAATTAATAGAGTGCACACATCACAGTATTTCAGTCAGGCTGCTGTTCCCCAGGAAAAATCTTACAACTTTTAACATCTTTTATTCCCTGTTTTCATCAGGAAAGTAATTAGGGCAGTTACCAAAGGAGAAATGACAAATGCAAAAGATGAAGGTGAAAGGAATGCAGGCTCAGAAGCTGAAACCCAAAGTCTGCGCAGTGGCAAGTCAACACCTTGTTCTGAGAGGTGAGCGGCAGAATCTGGTACAGTTTATGCTGGGATTGACCTAGGGTTGTGTGCCAGTCCTCTGTATTGCATCGTGTCTTTGAATTCTGAGAATTCCTACTCAGAAGCAGAGCTTATATAAAAAAAATAAAAATTTCCACCTATCTTCCTTCTCTCTCCTTGTGTTTGGCTGCTTATTGCTGTCAGTCTGGTTTTGGTTTGGTTTTTTGGGTTTGTTTGGTTTTTTGGGGGTTTTTTTTGTTTTTTTTTCTGGCTTTTAATTGATGAGCTGCCTTCATTTTACAGAACTGAGGCCCTTTGTTCTAAAGTTTTTATTCGGTAATGGCATGTTAGTTGACTCTATTTTCTTCTTTAAAGGCTCTGTTTGCCCTTCTCTTTCCATTATTATTGTCCCAGTTATTTCTAATAGAATTCCATTTATCATTGTTCTGGGTCTGAGGGGTCTCTGTTATTGCCTCTGCTGATAGCAGTATAAAGTGCTAGGTGCAACATTTCTCTCATGTCCCACCACCAACATGAAGCCAAAAAATAGTTCACTTTTTTTCTTGTTGAGTTGGATAGTCTATACTGGATGTAGACTCACATTCTTTGCTCATGTGCATACACCTAGAACTTTTACAATCTAGATTGAAAAATAATAATCATTTGCTCTAGGATCCAATAGAAATTTCTAGCTCTAAAACAGTGTTCCTGGGAGACTCCAAATAGGTATATAGGAACACAGGACATCAGGTAAAAGGAACATCATAAAGTTTAATTCACCCAGAGATGAACCTTCTTGTTTAAGCAAGAACTTGCTTCCCTTTGTTACCTACAGTTCAAAAACCCAACTGCTGGATGTTCTGCAACGTGCCTGAAGTTGATGGTGACAATCTTCTTGAAAGTTCATAATTTGATTTTTTTCCACTGGATGGTGCAGCACTTACTAGCCAAATCAGCTTTAAAGCTAATTTTCTTCTTTAATCCATACACAGTTTACTAAGTTGTTTGGTTTTTTTTTCCACTAAGCTAATGAGGCCTTCTCTATCTAACCAGATTCAGTCCTGACTTTTATGAGACAAGAAGCAGTATTTTTGCTGTTATTCTGGATTTGTTTTGCTTTTCGTTGAATAGAATACAGACAAGTGAAGGATCTACGAGACAAAAACTCATTAATCTGGTGCATGTGCTGCTTAACACTTTACACTAAGGTTATACAACATTAAGTAATTTTCACTAAGATTTTACCAGAAAAAGGACAAAGGTATGCTTGTGGGAGATCTGTGCAGCAGTTTTGATATGCCAGACTGCAAGAAAGTTATCATGCAGTTAACCATAAATGAAGCAAAATAATTTTGTTTGGGGTGGTAGAATTCAGCACCTGATAAGCTCTTTGTCCAGACTTAGAAGGATAAATAAAGTACTCCATAAAAATATCCTTTATGCTTGATTGCCTTGCTTGACTTTCACAGAAAGTCTCAATTTCTAGCTTTTGCCCAGAGCCAAGGTACAGGATTTATTAAATTAGGGGTATTGAGTAATTATGGCAACTTGCTTCTCTCTGTGTCGTCTCATCCTCACCTGCCAAATCAGTGTCCTTTGTCAAAGTACATAGTAACCCAGCTGTGTTGCCAGGAGATGCTTTTCGTAGGGCAGAATTATTTTACTGTCTATGGAAATATTAGTTTGTAGAAAGATTGAGGAGCAGCTCATATCTCTGAGTAGAGGGATGAAAATTCCTGTCTTGTACATGCATGGTTAAATACTTTAATTAGCTATTTGAGGATGCTTGCTTTAGTTCATCTATTGTTAATTAATAGAACTGAGTAGTAATTATTAAAAATAACAGCAAAATTTCCCAAGCTACCCTCTGTAACTGTTTTTGAGTTTCAAATTAAAAGAATGTAACACCATCTTGTGACACTGTAGCTGTCCTATACTTTCCTGCATATTTCTGATTCTTGTAATTGCCCACATCTTTTAGCTCTATTGCCAAGCTTAGTGGTATTTCACCTAGCAGCAGGGAAAGTGAGAGAGAATTTTTATTCTTTCCAAACATTTTGTTTGAAGAGGAAGATGTACTGAGCTGGGAACAGGGAGTCCCAGGCCATGAGTTCATTTCTTCAGCTCATGTATTTCTACTCCAGCAAAAATGTTTATGAATTTTGCAGCTGGATGAACTGGGAGGCTGAATCAGAATACTTCTAGGAGAAATAGTATAGGAATTTCAGGCTTATCTACACAGTCACACTACCCCAGCATTTTGAGGTCTTGTCTACCACATAGTCAGGTTATAACAACATTTTTTTTTTATGTTCTTTCAAAATGTGTTGAACCTCTCCCTAACAGCAGACTGACATAGGGGGCAAAGTACAGGAGAGGTCTGTTTAGCAGGGTGGATGTACAAGTGTTCAGCCTGACTGATGGCCCCTGTAGAACCCCTTGTAACATACTTTAAAATCTTTTATCCCAGCCCACTATCACTTTGAACACTTCGCTTGGTTTACATTAGTTTACACAACGAGGAAAAAAAAAATAAATCTGTAACAACAATTTTTGGAACAGAAAGTCACAACAATCCATCAGAAGTGGTGTGACATGCAATAAAACTCAGGTTTTAAACAGTGTATAGCAAGTAGCCTTACACTGGCAGGTTTGGAAATTAAGATGTGTGCATCTAAGACCCAACAGCTTTGATAAAACACAGATGACAACCAGTAACCTTGATTTTTCTGTCTTCATAGCACCAAAGACGCATCTTTATGTAAACAGGACTAAAATTCAGCTAAAGCACATATAGTAAGATTTGTTGATCACTTGCTCATCAAATTAAAAAGTAACAGTCCATGTATATGAAGTGCACATGCATAAGAGCGTGTTTATTATGTATTCTCTGTGGTTGTCAATATATGAAATTGGATAGTAATTGTTAAAAAGGTTACCATATGCTCACTAAAAGACAAAAACATGGTTGCACAACATTTGTAGACAGTCCTGGTGTTTGGTTTCTTCTGTATTCCTTGTTTTCAGTAATTCTGCCAATGTGGAGTCAGAGCCTGTGCTCACGGCTTAATGTCATGGTGAGACAGGAGCTGTTGTGTTCTAGAGTATTTTTTCTTAATTCAGCTGTAGTTCTAATAAAAATTTCTGTTGTGGTACAGAAGATTTTTACTGCAGTTGCTCTAAACATGGTATGAGAACCTAAACCTAGTGAAGGTGAAATTCAGATGTTTTCCAGCACAATAAAGATGCCTGCAGATCTGAAATATTTGTTAAGCAATTTTATTTTGGCTGAAAAGGTACTGTAAGTTCCAAAACCAGCAAATTTGTGCTACTGTTGTTCTCCTACACTGTATTTTCTATATGGAAAAGGCTGCAATTCTGCATAAATTCCTATTTACCAGTATTTTTATTTTAATTTTTTTAAAGTAGTAAGTAGAAATGTATGCAGAACTGTTACTGTCCTGCAGGACTTTTTGATATTTCTCTAAATTGTGAAGAAAAATGAAACAGTTTGAACTGATGTTTGTGGAGAAAGAAGAGTAAATAAGCCAAGAAATTGTATTTTTACTGCAAATCACATTTCCAATTAAAAAAAACCTTTCATGGGAAATGTATTGAAATACATTTAAAAATAATTGTCATTGATTCAAGAGGTCAAAAAAGTGCAGCAGCTTATCCTTTGTAACCCTTGATGTTCACATGGACTAATCAATATTTTCTAATAGAAAATGTCCCATGGAAAAAATTTTGCATGTTGAGGTATTAGGCAGCAATTGGGTTCTGGTACAGTGATCACAGATTCTCTTTTGTCATTTTTACTGACACAAAACCTGGCAAAAAGCTCTTCTAGCTTTCCAGGCTGCTTGAACCAGTCAACCAGTTTGGGACAAGAGTTGTTATTGCAATATAAATAGGACAGTGAGCAAGTTGTTTGTCTGGAGAGGACAGAGTGCCAGATAGTCAAGGGACTTTCTGGAGGTAGTGCTGGCATTAACATCAGCTGCAGAAGTGACCAGAACTGTCATGTCTCCATAGTTTTCCTTTAAACCAAGGAGCAGCCTGGTAGGAAGTGTTCCATGAGTTGACGCACCTGCCTGTTGGGCTGCGAACACAGTTCAAAATGAACATGGATGAATGCAGCTTCTACAGCCTGGACAAGAGCTGCCTGTTTGGCCTATTCACAGTTCTGGCAGAAGTGCTGGAAAACAAGTGTGTGTATGAAGTAATTGTAATTCACCCTTGCCTGGGTTTTTCTTTCCAGGTGACTGTTTCCTTACAGCGGATCACACAGTTCATCCAGTGCCATGTTATTCTAGTAAATTGTTACCATGGCTGTTTTCTTGTAATGCTTTGCTAAATGGGTTGCCTTGGTTTGCTCAAAGCAATAATGCTTTAATATACTTCTCTCCATCCCAGAGGGAGCACTCTTTCACTGAACAGCAGCGATGCAGAAGCTGCTACAGGATATCTGAAAGGGACCGTGAGTCCTGCAAACAGAAGCAATGTTTCCACACCTTCCTTCCCGAGGTCTCCAGCGCTCAGCACGCGCAGCATGACTGCAGGTTGTAGCAGGGTAAGTGCAGTGATGTGGAGCTGACACCAAGTATAGCTGACACCAAACAAAATCACTTGTTAGATTGATCTGTAGTTCAGGAAGGACAAGTCTGACAGAGGAGATTTTGTTTCTTCCTTAATTCTGCTGGGACCAGTGAAGATCTCTATTAGAATAGAATTTGACGTGCTCTATCAGTGATGTTTTTGGTTTGGCAGACATTTTTCTTATTTTTCAAAATTGCTGTTAGTATCTGTTGTCACATAACAGGTTATAGATTCTGAAGTGGCAAGCACAAGGGATAGTAAATGTTCTTGTCACTTCAGGGCCTTCAGTAAGTGCTGGGATCTAAGGATGTGACTTTCCAGCATGCAGGTTTCAGTGTGCTCCCACTAACTTCTAAGGGAAATGTTGCAAGCTCAGCACTTGCAGAAAATCAGACCATACTGCTTTTATTTTTTTCTGGATTTGGACAGTCGTCTCTGCATAAAATACGATGTAAGACAAAATGTGTGCTAGGCACTTTATCAAAATGAAAGGTGGGATTCCTCTTACCTGCTGTTTGGCCTCTTGGGGTGTAGGTGGCCGTGTCTGAGCCAGCCACCTTGGCTGTTTTTTAATAAGCCGGCAGGATGTGGCTCATCTAGCCAGAAGTGGACTCTCTCTTCGTTCCTGGACAGCCTACCAGCATGCAGGTTTCAGTGTGCTCCCACTAACTTCTAAGGGAAATGTTGCAAGCTCAGCACTTGCAGAAAATCAGACCATACTGCTTTTATTTTTTTCTGGATTTGGACAGTGGTCTCTGCATAAAATACGGCATAAGACAAAATGTGTGGTAGGCAAAATGAAAGGTGGGATTCCTCTTACCTGCTGTTTGGCCTCTTGGGGTGTAGGTGGCCGTGTCTGAGCCAGCCACCTTGGCTGTTTTTTAATAAGCGGCAGGATGGGGCTCATCTAGCCAGAAGTGGACTCTCTCTTCGTTCCTGGACAGCCTACCTGTTTGCCAAGCACCTGCTCCTGACTGTGCACCGAGATGCCCATCCTGAATCAGTTTCAGTCACCCTTCTTAAGATTGTACAAGCAAGTTATTCTAAGTTGCCACGACTTATGTGTACAAGGAAAGCAAAACTTATAGTTAGAGGTAATGCCTTTTACCAATAATGTTTGAAAAAAAGGAGATGAACATTCAAGATCAGAGCCCTATTGAATGCATTAGGTATTTTCTATCTTCCAAATACTTAGTCTAGTATATTGTTTTTCCTAGTAAAAAATAAGTGAGTATATATGAAGGGAAGTTTCAAGAACTTTTAATAAATTACTAGTTGTTTTATTTATATTTTTGCTGACACACAGACTGACTTGATTTGAAGTGCATTAGATCTGATTGAAAAAGGCCAGTCCATTTAATTTGGATAGTTATGTCATTAGCCTTTACAGGAAGGCAAAAAAGCCATAATGAACATGTTGGCTTTATTTAAGAGGTTTTACTGATTTAATTAGTTCAAGTCCATTTGGTTTTACCTGACTGAAATTATTATGCTGTTATAAAAAAAATGGGTTTTATATTTTCCTTCTTATTTTTTCTTTAAAAAAAAAAAAAAATAAATTGCAAGCTAAGTGAACTTTTAATAGATTACTTCACTTCCCTCCTCTCACTCCTGATGCATTGCCCTGATTCTTCAGTTGCAAACTCAGAATGTATGCATGAATCGTATATTTGTGCAAATTTTATGCATGATCTGTGCTAAGCAAAGCAGATTAGATTGTAATCTAAATATATTCAGTAATGGACTGGATGCTACAGGAGCTTTGGAGTTCTGCAAGCCAGTAGAAATGATACTTTTGTAGATAGTGAATAAGCTTGCTTTTTTTATTTATGGGATGTACATTTTTCTTATTGGACAGGAAACTGGTTTAGAAAATGGCATGATTATTCCAGTAAGTGAAAGTGTACCTGAAGATTTAGTAAAGAAGCACTGTAGGAAAGCATCAGGAACACCTTCCATTGCTGTTTCTAGGGTATCTTTGTCATCAGGCAAGTATTAAGTGTTTTCCTTCTTTCTGCCAGCCTTTATCATTGGAAGATTATTTCTATTCTTCTGACTCTGCTCCTTTTGTTTTTAAATCACATTGAAAGATCAGATATAAGTTTCATAAATTTGTTCATATTCATTCTGAAAATTCTTCCCTTTTACTAACCAAGTTTATACCACTTCACAAGTTTTACATTTGAAAAAATGGTAATCCTAACTCCGTGTTGGCACAATGTTAGTATTAGGTAAGTCACATGCTCTTAGAATTGTTACAAGATTTAATTTGTAATTGCACACTGTTAAATTCTCTGTGTCGTCAACTGTATAAAATACTACTGTGCTGTTGCCGTTGCATTTCACACCCACTTTGTCCAGAAGCAAATTTGGGAAACAAAGAGCTGTCAGAGAACAAGTCTCTTACAGACTTCATGTCATTTAATTTTTATATGTCACGCGCTGAACCAGTCGATTTAGCTGCATTTTACCTAATTTCATTGGAGGCTGTTAGGTGAATGAGGCTTGCATGGGAAGGTGCTGTCAGAGCCACTTTGCAACAGGGGGTGGAGATCCTCCTTTTCCTGGCTGAAACAGGAGGCAGAAGCACGCTGCACTCTTCTGCTTCTCCCAGGCACTTGGTTGGTTTCTTACAGGGCTAACCGAGTGGGTTCAGATTTACAGGTTTCTCTCTCAAACACAGCAGAGCTCACAGTTTTTCAGCTGAATTTAGCCCAAAGCAGAAGCCTAGTAGCATATCCCACAGAACTAATCAAAGGAGGTAACGTTCTTCACCTTAGATTTTTCAACTTGAAAGCATCAGGGTTTCTTTGAAAATATTGTACAGTGCAACTCCAGACAGAGGTGTTACAGACTGATACTTCTTCATGAAGTGAAAATTCTTCTGTTTCTGCTACCCTATAAAATAAAGATTTTCCTAGTAGAAAAGAACTGACCTCATATTAGCAAAGCAGACGGATGATGAGCAAAATTGCAGGCAACCTGGGAACAGGCCTCAGACTCTTCATTGTCTCCTTGTTGAAGGATCTCAAAGGCCACTAAGCTCAGGAGAGTGACCTTCCCTGTCACATCAGCTGTAGCCCAGGCAGATGATGAACAGTTAAAAGCTTTCCAGATTCCTGCCTGCAGGATCTAAAAGTATTCTCTTCCCCCTCTTTTTTCTCAGTATATTGAATAGTTGTACAAAAGATTTATATGGGGAAGACTAAGAAAATCTTTCTCCAAGACATCTGACATATCTTAATTCTATAGAGTAGTTGAGACACCTGTAGGACCGAAAGAAACTTGTGCGAGTCTTGAGACGTGTTCACTTCCTCCTCCTTTCTGCACAGGGAACACCAGCAATGGCAGAAGTACTTTCTCTTTCTGTGTCCATCTATATCCCTAGTTGCTTAATTCTGAAGCAGATGCTGTGGGAAGTTCGATGGTGGTGGTAGATGTGATAATCACTGTGAACACTTGGGCTGCAAGTTTTGCAATATTCCTGGGCGATAGGCTTACCAGAGAAAGTCAATAGCTTGATCTATAGTGTCACCTGCAGGAAGCAATTACAGCAGATAAATATTACTAGAGAGAAAAGGGTTGGCCAGAAGGTTGAACAGCATCAGAAAACATGTATTTCCATTTGTCATATTGATATTCAATTGTCACAGAGTTTGTGACAGATACCTAAAATATTGTTTTAATTTTTTTCTTTAAAAAAAAATTAGTTGGAGACAAATTAAAGTGGGTAAGATGAAACAAAGTACTTCTTGTACAAATTATAGCAACCATTTTAATTGTTTTTATTTTCCAGATCGTAGTCGATCTGAGATAGATTTGAGTGAATCTTTCTCTGAAGGAAACGAGGACACTCTGAGCATAAGAAGCAAATCTGTACCTAGTGCCTTAGATCAGGAACTGGTGAGTTATAAATATGTAAACGCTTATCTGGTGGAAATCCTTATGAAATCAGCACTATATGTGTATCTACATGAAATACAAGTAATGAAGAACATTGTTTCAGGAATATTTAATGAGTTTTTAAACAGCTTCATCCTCCTAGTATGTTGGCTATAGAATGATTCCAATGAATAGTCATGGTTACAGTTTGTTATTGATTTGCTGTTTTTTGAGTTTACAGGTGAAAGCAATCTGTCCTGAAAATAAATTTCAAGCACTATATTACACACGCTCCAAAGTTCTGTTAGTTTATACTTTCTTAGATTTTTCACTTTGATGCTGAAAAATACTATACTTTAAAGGCTTTAATCTGGGTCTGGTTTTCATTTTCCTCATATATTTTTTAGCAAATGAAGCCCCAACTTTCTGTTCTGCTGCTGCTTTCCTCTTCTTCCTGTTCACTGTTTTCTCCTATACATCTCCATGTCTTTTTCTGTCTTCTATGGGCTGCTTTTCCTGAAGTGATTCACAACTTCCCTCTCCTCTTATGCACATATCTAAGATACACAAGTTGCAGATGTGCATCAATGCTATAAAAGAATTTCCAAGCTTGTTAAATATGTGTGACAGAGGGGGAAAAAATAAGTTATTTAAATAGTTCTTCATCTAATCATAGTTTGTTCTGAAGTTCCCAAGTATATACTTGTAGCTTATAAAAACCCTATATGGCTTATGCATTTTGTCTATTGTCATAGTCCTTCCCTACCATCTGCTCTTTTCAGAAAAGCATTGGCCATGGGAGATGTCTCCCCTTTTCATAGCATTTGATATTTGTGGCTGAGTGGAAAACAATGTGTTGGGATTCTCATCTGTTCCTTGGATTATAAACACTCGGAGAATTTGCCTGCAGCATTGCTTTGTTTGGGTTAATCTTTAAGAAAATAAAACAAGCCCTTCCTGTATGTCAGATTTCTGTGGAAGAAAAACTTCAAAACCAAGTGTTATATTTTTTAATTGTAGCAAAGGAAAAGGATGTGTTCTTGATTAAGAAGTTGGAAAAGATTGCAGAAGTAAAGCATAAAATAAGAAAACACAAGCTTTAAATATTTTTATATTAGTTTCCTGCTCTAATTGTACAGGGTGCGTAGGTATTACCTAGGAATTTCTCTGAGGCAGGTGATAGAGATGCCAAGTCCAGACTGCTTTTCTGTTCTTTGGGGTTTTTTTGTGGGTTGTGTGTTTGTTTGGGATTTTTTTTGTGTTTCTCGTATTCAGAGCTTTATTTATTTATTTATTTATTTATTTTATCCCCCCCCTTTTGATTCTGAATGAAATTTCAGATTGTATCTCTCTAGCTTCTTTGCTAACATAAGGAACCTCTCTTGTAACCTAACCTTGATTTAGTTGCTCCAGGGTCTGAGAGAGTGCTAATTCCCCTTTAAACTTCATTCATGATGGGGTTCATAGGTCTCTGATTCTACCCATGTCCTCGCTTGCTCTGTCTTATGAAATCAATTGCTTGCATTCATCAGCTTTAGTGTTACCATATTTTTTAGGCTAGTTTGACTCATAGGAGTCCTTCAGAGCCAT